ATAGTTTCATTATTAGACGAAGAGTATGCGATAACCATAATATATCTTTATTTAGGTTGGGGACTCTCGAACTTCTCCTCCGTGAGTTACACAATTGTGGCATTCTAGATACCAGTGTACCCTTTTTCTTTCCTCCAGGCTCTATTCGATTTTTTTACTAAATGCACACTGGCATATGTATATTTGATTTAATTTTCCAACTTTGTTACTTTATAGAAAAATAATTTTCTATAATCTCTCTTCACATATATATGTATTAGCAGCGATGCATTTTCAGAATCCATAATTTAGCTTTGCACAAGTTATGACTGATCTAGAGTTTCAATTTATTATTATATATTCCTGTATTATTTTATCATATTTTAATATTTAAAAAAGTTGATATGAAGGCATATGTAATTTTGGTTACAAAAAGTAGGCAATTGTGCTTGTGTCCAGAGGAGAAAGAAGCAACAAAATAAAGTAGATATGGAGAGGTAATCTGTCTCTCATTGCCTACGATATAAAATTCAACGGTTGGCTCGTTAATTCGACAGGCTCGGTTTAGACAACTTAAAATGAAATCTATAAAAGGAATTCCCATTCCTTAAACTTCTTGACGCAAATTTTACTTCGATTGTCTATACTATAGTTAAAAAATTAAGCATTAATTAGAGCTTTAATAAATTTATTATTTACTTTCTTTAGATTATAATTATATTTCAATATGTTATATTATAGGTTATAAATGTATTAAGAATTGAGTGAATTGCAATAAAATATGTATGTGTATGGAGATTGTAAGCGTGTTGTTCGCTTACTTACGACGTATTGTTTTAAAAAACATCTCAGGCAATAAATCACGTTCATTATTATAATTCTTGAGATAATTGACTATCAGGGTGTATTGCACCTCAACTTCAAAAAAATTTACGACGAAAAACTTATGATGTGTTTGATAGAATTGGCATTATAGAAAAATTGTAATACTGCTCCGTAAAATCTGTATAAATTTTTTCAGTGTGATTAGAAGTATGTATTCCAAATCGTTTTAAAATTTCAACAATGGACTGATACAATTAAAATCACTCTGCAGAAACTCCATTATTATAATTATTACAGTATTATCTACTTATCATATTTATAAACCGTATACGTTAATATTAAATCACAGAAATACATATGAATGCATTTAATATTACAATAATTTAGAAGTGTTCAAATATTTATGAATGGTATTTTCAACATCGGAACTGAAGATACAATTCTTCATAAAGGGATGATCCGAAGACCTATTTTCATGAAATGGTCACCTACATCAAATAAATATATAAATCAATATTTAAAAGAACTGGTATTTATATACTATACTATTACAAATGTATAAGATTACTTTGTAACTTGCTCAACATGTCGAAAATGATATGGAGATATTTTACTTTGAATAAAAAATTAAACAAAACAATAATTTTATACATTAAAATGATTAAATATAATATCAGTAAATAATTAAATAAATTTTATGTGGTATCCCTATTTGATTCTATTCATTCATCTTTTCATATCTTTTTCAATAGTAGTGACCGTATCGTGAATAAAATACAATTGAAATACATGTTAAGCAGAAATTTAATTCCGCTATTGAATATCATAACAAGTTCTTTATTTTGATTGTCTCACGTATTTTTACATTTTACATGAATCCACGAAATTTCCATATTTATAGACTTCTCATAAGATGCATAGTTTAGTCATGATTTTTAAAATTTGCAAATGCTATACAACGATGACCTAATTTATATAACGCTTGTTTCTATTGTTTTTTTATTAATACCACGTGTAAGAAAAACATGTCATTATAATGTGAGACATACTATGTGTAACATACTATGCATACTAAGCAGAAAATTTTGTAGAAACTGTGTAGAATCCACATAATATAAAAAAATATTTCAAATATCCAGAGCGTAACAACTTTATAGTATTTAGCACTTGAAATAATTTTCTATCGATTTATCGTATTTCAAAATATGTTTTTATACATATATAATTATATTCTTATTGTGTACATTATATTATAATAGTCATGTATAAATAATATAGGTACGTATGTTATAAAGGGTGTTTCGTATCTTGTGGGGCCCATTTTGGGAGCTGATTGTATGCCTAAAAATAATGAAAAAGAGTCATATAAATATATGTCCTATCTGTCTTTGTTTATGAGATATAATGAATTTTCTGTTTTAATTACTTTTACAAAAGATGCTCGAAATGACCACCTTGCATTTAAAGACAAGCCTGCACGCGTCTTGTCATTCATTTGGTTACTCTTTCTATTATTCCTGGTGTTTCTCGAATTTGTCGGAAGTCTTGCTCTATTCTATTTCGTAGTATTTCAGCATTTTCAATCGATGTTGCGCATACAATAGATCTTAAATGTCCCCACAAATGAAAATCTAATGGATTTAAATCCGAAGAACGAGAAGGCCATGCAATAGAACCAATCCATTTATTTGCAAAGTGTTGATTTAAAATGCGGTATGCGGTTTATTATATGTTTATTATATACGCAACATCGATTGAAAATGCTGAAATACTACGAAATACAATAGAATAAGGCTTCCGCCAAATTCGAGAAACACCAGGAATGATAAAGAGTAACCAGATCAATGACAAGACACGTGCAGGCCCGAAATTACGAGTACCCGTCTGTTCGGGTCGGGCTTACACAAAGCCGGGCAGGCTCGGGCAGGTAGCCCGACGATTTCGGGTAGTCCGATGATTTCGGATAGCTTAACTATTTCGAATCGAGTTGAAAAAAGAGATGTAATAGGGATTATATTGCATTATCGAAATCAATTATTCATAATATTTAATATACATATTTTTTTCTTCAAATGTAATAATATTTACTCTAAATAATAATATAAAAAAGATAATTGCTCAACATTTTGTGATATTAATTTCGCTCGAGTTGGTATTATTATATTTCCGGATATAGAAAATATTCTTTCACTTGTATTTAGAATAAATATTATTACATTTGAAGAAAAAAAAAATATATATGTCTATTAAATATTATGAATAATCGACTCCGATAACGCAATATAATCCCTATTCTATCCATAGTTAGGCATATTTTATTTGAACGAATAACGAATGAAATACTGTCAAATTTATTCGTAAATAACGAATAACGATTTTATTAGAGGAAAAATTATTCGTTACTTACGAATAATGATTTTATTAGAGGAAAAATTATTCGTTGCTTACGAATAACGATTTTATTCGAAGAAAAATTATTCGAACACACAGTTGGGCATTGTTCGAATAAAATTTTATTCAAAATATTTACTGAAATAATGTAAAGAAGAAGAGTCGGCAGTACATTTTTTTTCAATTTTGGTTTATTTAATAAATTTGCTTTGCTTTTAATATTTAATAAAGCGGAATCTCCTTCAACCGACCAACATTTACAAACAAATGATAACGTAGAAATTCTTATACAATTTTTTACAGATAATAGAAATGATTACATATCTCTGAACGCATATCCCATAATTAAAAATATATTTTTGAAATATAACATCCTTCGCCATCTTCTGTTCCAGTAGAGCGTTTTCATTTGCAACGATAACAAACTCGCCTAAAGCAAACAGATTAACTAACAAAATGTTCGAACAAAAGTTGTACTTAAAAAAACAAATTTATTAAATAAAAAGGGACTCCTGATTCTTTTTCTTTACATTATTTCAGTAAATATTTCGAATAAAATGTTATTCGAAAAATTTATTCGAAATATTATACGAATAAAATTTTATTTGAAGAATTTATTCGAAATGTTATTCGAATAATGTCCACCTCTTTTTCTATCCCCCTTGAACTTTTTTCAACTCGATCCGAAATCATCGGGCTACCCGCCCGAGCCCGACCCGAACCCGAAATTTCGGCTACCCGCACACCCCTACTTGAAATGCAAAGTGATCATTTCGAGCATCTTTTGTAAAAGTAATTAAAACAGAAAATTCATTATATCTCATAAACGAAGACAGATAGGACATATATTTATGTGACATTTTTTCATTATTTTTAGGCGTACAATCAGCTCCCAAAGTGAGTCCCACAAGTTACGAAACATCTTGTATACAGTATGTTCCGCGACTCGTGTCCAATCGATTGGGAGTTGATTCTATATGTAATATTGAGTCGAAAAAAAAAATAAAATTTTTTCATTGTTTCAAGTTTTCGTTTCCGAGAAAATTGTGTTGGAATATTTGTCACGTAGTGTATACGTATTATGTATATATGTGTATATATACATAAATTTCAAACACATGTTACAATACATGATTTAAACCGACTAGCACAAATTATCGGCAAAAGAATATAAGTGAAAAATATGAAATAAAATTTTTTTGTTCAAAGCATTATTTTCAAAAAAATAAACATTAGATATGTTTCGTTAAAAATTGCTTTTCTTGATAAATTTTCAAATTCCATTTTCTCGAAAACGAAACATTTTACAAAAAAATCATATTGTATATTATTTTTGCACATAGAACAATCTTCTGATATTTATACTTTTCTGTCACGTTTAAAATTAATTAAATTCAAGTATACTTATTAAATCTTTAAACTCAATATTCAAACACGAAGATTCAAATCAGAATATTTTAGTTTACATTTCTTTCTTGCTTTTTTTTTGTAAAGAATCCTACTGCTTGATTTATTTTTTGGACACACGCTATATATTCGTAAAAATATCAATTTGCATGAAAACCCAAAAATATTGTAATATATTATTAACAGAAAGTTCTTTATCATGCAAACAACCAATCAATCTGACAGTTATTTGTTCTGTTTTGAATATTATTTCAACTATAAATGATACTAGAGATGAATGATTTGCATCATTTGTTAGTAATATTAAAAAAAATAAGACAAACTTTTTCGTCTCACATGTACGACACTACAATAAATATTGACATTTCATTTCTGAAAAATATCAAAATATTGAATACCTGTACGTTATGACTTCGAAACACGAATTCACTTTTAAGTTTTTGCAGATATTTCCTAGATCCAAGAGATCCTAGATCCAATGAATACGAACAATGAAATAGTTGGGTTCACAGTTATATGATCACAAAATATTCGATTTCCCACTCCTGGCAGCACTAAAATAGATATAAATTTGTTTACAATGAATGAGAATGTTCTCACGGATTTAGTTTATTAATAGTTTGTTTTTGACTAGAAGTGGAGTTTGAGGAATTGTGATTTCGAATTTACCTATTTTCAGGCGGAACAATATTTGCATGATATGAATTGAGATTCAAATAATACACTTCTAAATACATAATTTCATTATTTCCCTGCTATTTTCTTCATTATTTTTTATAGAAACAATCAAAGAAACGACAAGCAAAAAACTTATGAATCTATTATTCTAAATTTATGCAACGACATCAGATAAAAATTTTCAGAATGTATTTGGCTATTTTGAATACAGCCAATAACTTTTCACAAACGACAAAGAATCGTCAATATAACTGAAATTTTAGAATTAAGAGTATATTCTCATTCGATGTTGTTAACAAGTAAACGTCGATTTATTAACGATTTATTAAGTAAAAATGTATTAAGTATTAGATCGAGAGTTTTGAAATATTGTACAACTGTTTGATATAATATTTTAAAACTATATGTGCTATATAATATATTAAAGCTAATTATGTAGTATAATTTTTGTATAATAATTATCTTTATTAGTATTCAAATTATTGCTGCGATTTATGTTATTCTATTCATCTGAAAAAAAAGTCAAAAATGAATTCAATCTGTAGATAAATAATTATTTTGTGAACTAGAACTACATCAATATCGACAATAATTTTTTTTTATCACTTGAAAATATTACACATTCATGAAATTTTACCTTATAAAGTTGCCCTTTTAGGTAGTAATAAAGGATGTTTCCTTTACTTCATTATAAATCATAAAATAATTACTTAAGATTTATATAGGTTACATTCATCTTTGATTTATGAATGATGATTTGATGAATGTAATCAATATAATTGAGGAATGTAATATAAATCGTAGCAGTGGTTAAAAGTGATTAAGTGATCAACATAGTATGCAAAATGTAGAAAGGAGACAACAATGCCATCAACGGTTAGATAATCGATGAGTCTGTTGATTAGTTAGTCAATTGATATCCAGCTCGCATAGAAGACACTTTATATACAGACACTCTATATACAGACATAGAAGACACTTTATATACAGAAGAAAATAAATTATGTTGTGAAACAGTTTGCATATATTAATATATAAATTTAGTAATTCTAGCTATCTTCCTACTCCTTGCCTCCAACACAAAAGAAGACGCATTTTCATCGCGCGGTTGAAATATATGATCAGTTTTTGATTACACTTTACATTATTATACGATTTCGTTTCTTCGCTATTAAAAAAAAAACGTATAAAATTATACGTTACCAAGGACAAGGAAATTTTTTATTTAAGTTTCATATAATTTGTTCTCGATATACATGTTTGTTTGAGAACACACGAATTGGCACTAAAATATTTATAATTTTGAATATAAGTAAATATTGTAGAAAATTATTGGGGGCAATTTGTCGAGTGCCGTATACTGGAATGGAAGACACAAATATTAATAAATTAAAAATATGTATTGTGGAGGAATGGGAAGAAATAATCCAAAAATAATCCATAATTAAAAACTATATAAATCTTTATCTCAAAGAATAGCTGCCATTGTTAAATGCAAAAATCATATTAAGTATTGAACAATTACCAAACTTGTTTCTTTTGTTTCTATCTATTGTTTTCCACGAAATGTACTATTATTTTGACTCGCTAAATATCACCATATATTTTTTTTAATAACACAAAATGTATTGCAAAAGTTTAATTTATGTTATTTATACTGTAATGGATAAACGGCGAAGAATTCGAGGCGTGAGATATCCCTTCTCAAAAGTCTTTATTCGACTGTCGGAGTGTCGTCCGATCAGCCATCCCCCTTCCCAGGCACAAACCTCTTCTCGAAACATAAACAATCCGTTCCTATGGCGTTCGTCCCAATGATCGCCTACAAATCGGCCAACCCTGACAATTGTGATTGTCCTCGATCACGTGTATGTATCGCCTTGCCTTAATTTTAGAACTAATCTATACATACTATGACATACTATAACATATGACATACTATCTATAGTAACATATGATACTTAAGTCTTATACTATACTAACATATGATACTTAAGTTTTATAACATAAAAATATAGACTTATACTTTATTGCTTAAGCTAGAGACGAATCCATGGTTGAAATCCATCAATGTCTTCTACCACGTATCTATCTTTGTCTAAAACCTTTTTTTACTTCATATGGGACACGGAATTTCGGAATTAGCTTTTTATTAACACCGGGTGTGACGTCTCGACTCCGTATCTTAACATAATCGCCAGTTTTGTACATAGTTGCCTTTTTGTGTGTACGATTATAAACTTGTTCATTTATTCTTTGGGTTTTCTGAATAGCTTGTGTAGCTGCATTGCGTGTTGCCACCAGCTCTCTTTCTTCATTATTTCGTGCTTCAAGAATTACTCTTAATTTGTCGTTTATTACCCCGAATTGGTTCCTTCTAAAAAGCAGTTTATACGGAGTTTCATTTGTTAAACGGCAAACAGTATTATTTATATATAATTCTACAAAGCTCTAGTACTCGGTCTCATTTTCCCGGACTTATACTCAATTTTGCTAACATAGGATTAATAACGCGATTGTTCCACTTGACCATTAGCGCGAGGTGTCCCGATAGCGACCCGAATATGTTCTATGCCTTCATCCTGCATGAAATCTGTAAATAATCCTGAAGTGAAACATGTTCCTCGATCGCTTATCAAACGCCTAGGTTTACTGTAATAACGGAAGTATTCTTTTAAGTGACGCATGGCCCCTTCAGACTTGGTCGATTTACATGGATACAACTCGATATATTTAGTGAAACCGTCAACTATAGATAAAATGTGTTTATAACCCCGACCACAACGTTCTAAAGGACCATAGTGATCTATATGTATAGTCTGGAATAGTAAGTTACCTTTATCGAGACTGTGTAAATATCCTTCGGACTTTCCACTAGGGTTTGAAAAATCAATACATCTTAGACAATTGCTTATATGATTTTTTTTACTTTTTTTCTCATATCTGGGAACCAATATATTCTGGAGATGTTTTCTACCACCTTATCCACACCAAAATGACCTAAATCATCATGAGAGGCTCTAACATTAGTTTCCATACATTCCGGTACCAGGAATAGCAATTTACCGTTACCTAGTTTTTTATATATTAATCCGTCACGTAATTCGTAATATTTATCCTCAGTGAATTCTAATTTTTCTCTCAACTCCCGAATTTTCGGAACTTGTGACTGCTTGAAGGAAAGAACTTGCTCGAAAGTATTTGCTTCTAATATAAGAATTGCATGGCAATGACTCAATGCGTCTACATGCGGCATCTTGGATCCAGACCGATGTTCGATTTCGAAATCGTATTCTTGTAAAAACATTGCCCATCGAGAAATGCGTGGATTGATGCTTTGTTTGGACAGCGTTAATCTAAAACTGTCGCAGTCGGTGATAATCTTAAAAGGATTACCCGATAAATAAACGTGGAACCTCTTAATGGCAAATAAATCGCTGCTAGGCATTCCAACTCGAAGCTATGGTATTTTGATTCTGTCGGCGTTGCTCGTAAAGTAAAATACAGGTTTCAGTTTTCCATCCGATTGTTTCTGCATCAAAACAGCACCAAAACCCGTAGTACTGGCATCACAGTGCAATTCTCTTGGTAAGTGTGGTGAATATATGGCAAGTACCGGTGGACTTGCCAATAATTTTTTTAGAGTTTCAAAAGCATTATTTTCGTGAAGACCAAACCGGAAATTAACATTTTTTTTAAACATATTGTACAAAAGTTTTGCTACTATAGAAAATTGTGGAATAAAGCGTCGGAAATAGTTAGCTAAAAATACAAATTTCTGTATTTCTTTAGTATTTCGTGGAATTAGGTAATTTAAAATGGATTCTACATTTTCTATACTCGGCCTGACTCCTGATTCATCAACCAAATATCCTAAGTAAGTTATTTGTTATAAAAACGAGCATTTATCTAACCGGAACTCTAAATTATAACAACGGGCCAATTTGAAAACATTTCTTAAAATATTGGTGTTCTTCTACTGTATTAGTGGTGATCAAAATATCGTCCAGATATACTAAAACTTGACCCTTTCGTATTAAATCAGAAAAGATGGTACTAATGTATCGTTGAAAAACTCGAGGTTAGTCAGACCAAAAGGCATTCTTAAATATTCAAATTGGCCCAAGGGCGTAACAAACGAGGTATATTTAATAGATGATTCAGCTACCCTAACATGATGAAATCCATTTCTTAAATCTAGTTTCGTAAACAGTTTCTTGTTACGTAGACGGTCCAAACAATCATCAATCAGTGGGGTCGGAACATTAATCGTTATCTTGTTTAATTCTCTGTAGTCTACGCATAACCGTATGTCGCCGGTTTTCTTTCGTACTAAAACGATGGGACTTGCATAAGGTGAGTTACTGGGTCTAATAATATTTCGATCTAGCAAATCATCTAAAATAGTTTGCAGCTTATCTTTATCCGCAAAAGATAATCGCCAAGGCCTATAACTAATCTGTTGTTCCGTTTTCACCGAAATGACCATTTCCGTACTGCTCATTCCTCACTCCGAGAGGAAATTAATTCCTCATAATAAAGTTGTTGTACTCTGGCGGATACAGTAAAATCAGCGGTAGGGTCGATATTTAGTTGTAAATTAACGTTTGGGTTTTCATCTATTTGCATAATCTGGTGTTCGAAACAATTAATATCCTCGGCCTTATTACTCGAAGCGACATTTTCAATATTAAACTTACATCCTAGTGAGATTTTTATAGTAGGAGACATTAAATAATCTCTACCTAGCAAAACGGTATAAGATATCCGATCCGGAACAACGAAACATTTCATAAATATAGAAACGCCATTAAT